ATATATATATATATATATATATATATATATATATATATATATAAGATGAGGTGAATAACTAGTTGCATTAACAAGAAATATATTACATTAACACGAAATATTTAGTACTGACTTAGAATAAATTCTTGATTCTTCAGAAGTTTACGTCGACAAAAAAATTATAGTAATGGTAATAAAAACAGAGAATTATTCACAAATAGCCGATTTTCATTAGACAATTTTATTAAAATAGCAAAATATATTTTTTCGATTAGATAAACAAAATTTGGAAGACTTTTTGATTCAATAATACAATTTTATTTGGTTACTCATATTTTGTAAATAATAATATAAAATTGAATTGCAACTACAAAATAAATTTTTTTTGTAATTTCAACAAAATAATCTATTATTAGAAAATATTTTTGTTAAGTGTAGTACAGTATAATGTGATATTGAATTAAACATTTTAACTAAACATTTTAAAAATAGATATATAATATATTCTATTTTTAATATAATAATATTATATTTAATATACTATAAAAGATCTCTGAATATCATACAAAATAGATTTGTATCATTAAATAATCAATGATTTAATAAATTCAATTTAATATTGGCGTGGTAACCGATAGTTTAATTGGTCATATCGACAAATAGTTTTAACGCCAGTAACAAGATTTTTCTTATTCATACTAAACATTTCTCTCAATATATTTATAATTATAGAAGAATAAAAATAAATAGCATCAGATATTCACTTCTTCTGAAATCATAAAAAATTGTGAAAAACGGCGTTTCTATCTATCTCGTACAAATATTTAAAAAAAGTTTTAAAAAATCGCTCTCTTAATCTCTTTCGCACGAAGATTGGTCAAGGAATACTTTCTTCTCAAGCTGTGTACATCTTGATATGTACAGAGAGCACGTATATCTTTGATAAGCGAGCCAGATTAAATGTCGAGTTCACAAGCTGATGTGACACGATGCGCTACGATGACATTAGCCGACGAATATGTCCGATTGCATCAACTATATTACACTATTGATCAGTATATGTGACAATGAAGAAAGTATTATGTAACTTTCGAGACGCAAACACCTTATCGGAATTAATACGTCAACTTGTTAGCTCGAAAACAGATATTACGAAATATATAGCTTAAAAAATATTGCAAGAATAAACGCTGAGATTTAATATACGAAGATTGATGATGTGCGTGTTTCTCAATTACGCTCATCGAACTGTGCGATGCAACCCTTCAACCCCCTTCGCGAATTATATCGCGCAAAACTGTTCGATTAATCCCCTACAGATTTAATGGGGGTATCCAATCCAATTTAAAAGTATTAGCGGAAATACATCGACG